GCAATCCCATTGGTCAATTTTAAGTGCGGCGGTCACGTGATTTTTTTAGAATCATCATATCTCCTCGTATCTCAAAAGTAAGGGCACATTTAAGTGTATCAAAAAAGTAGGTGCAGGTGTATCAAAAATGAATGTTTTGCGCTACGGACACAGCAATCACGTGATAAATCCAGCCAATGTTGTGCACATAAGCCCCTAACCTTAACTCTAATGCCAATTCTGGTCATTGTTGTGCACATAAGCGCCTGTAATGTTGTGTCCGTAGCATTCCCTTTGATAAAAATGTATAGGACACTCGTGACAGGTGATTAATTTTATAATATTAAAAAAAAAATTTAATTTAATTTAATTTAACTTAATTTAAAAAGGAAATGATTAGGAAATATTGGTATATTGGTGATTGTTACGCAACAAAGTTTCACACTTAAACTTTGCTTGTGTAACTAGTATACTTTCGTTATACTTTCATTATACTTTTACATACTTTTGTGTGTAACATTTAATAGTTTACGCGAAGTATAAAGCATACTTTAATTAGACTGTAAGTAGACTATAGATTATTTTAGAGTTTATTCATAGATATATATAGAGCGATATGTATTTTAGTTCTAGAGTTCTGGTTAGTTGTCTTTAGTTTGGGATTTAGTCTTGTTAGTATTTTGAGTTGGATTTTAGTGCGTTTGGAACGTACTAGGTTAGTAGTTGGACAAGGATATTTGAATTATTAGTGTCTGGGACACATTGGTTTAGTATTTTCTGGTGCCTTGTGTACGTAAATAAATATTTGGCTTTCTCTTGTTAATGATTACGGCCCTCAGTTAAATTGGCTAAGTGGATACAAAGTCTCTCTCTTGGTCGTAACAGTGATCAGCTAAATTTGTAATTTGGCGTATTTAGGTAACGCTTATTTCCATCATGAAACTTTACTATTTCCATGACAATATGTTTATGTTTATGGAACCGAGAATTATGTGAGAAGCATGATGGAAATAGGCGTTCCCGCATCTATTAGGCAAGGCCAACTTGGTTTGGTGGTTTACATTAGGCCGCGCAAAGTTAATTTTTTGTTTTGCATAACCCGCCGACCCATTTTTTCAATTTTTCAAAAAAATTTTTTTTTTGAAGTCCCAATTGCGTCAATTATTCTATTTTTGCTATTTAATTTTTCTATCAATTTTAACTTGGTTTCCCGGAATTTCCGATAGGACCGATAGAAAAAAAATCTCATCGCTGACCCAATTTTCCGATTCCATGCTATGCAAACGAAAAATTAACTTTGTATAGCCTTAGATATGAACATGAGTCTATTAATTTACAATAGATTAAAAAAAAATCCGACCGACCCAATTGTTCTGATTCCATGTTATGCAAAACGAAAAATTAACTTTGCGCGGCCTAATAGATTGACCTTTATGACTTGTTTTAACTTATCAAACTTACTATTGCATTATAACTACCTTGGTCATATAAAGTGCATTACTTGAATGTGTGCTAGGTTTGTAGCGCAGCAAGAATTTTTTAATGTTCATTTATGTTAGAGTTAGGGTTACGGGTTAGAAGAAAGTAGTTTGTATAGTAAAATTGCCCAACGAAAACTTTTTATCAGAGCACCAAAAGTGGTTTTTCTTGTGTAGAATTCGAGAAATAAGCGATTTTTAACAAAACGGTCGTTTGTTTTGAATTTTCTTAATCGTGATATGTTGCACCTGATCATGAAATCTGTTCGTTAGTTCAGTAAATCTGCGCCACAAACCCATCAAATGGCCGACACTGTGCATTAATGCATGCATAATAACAATGCCAAGTTACACAAAACCACATGCAATTGCACTGTATTACCTACGTTATTATAAATAATCTCAACTTTTTTTTTTACATGACTTCTTCCTACCAAAAAATGAGCGATGGCATAATGTAGAAAGAGTACCGTTATTAGAAACGCAGGAATATTTTCAAAATCTCGCTGACTGCAAAGAACAATGCTGGCTCTGGTGCAAAGGACAATTCTGGATTTTAATTATTATAATATTATTAATTATGCCAGTAATTGTTATTGTTAATTTGCCATATACGAAATTAAAGACTGACATATCATGAATTCCTTAACAGTATAGATTACGATGTAAAAGTCTTTGGAAATGTAACCACATTATTGAAGGTTACCCAACTGAATTTAATGGTGAAACTAAATCTTTTAGTTCGATTAAAGTTAACAATCCTGAACAAACCGAGTTCGTAAAATATGCCAAAATCATAATTCCTAATTGGATATATGGACGTTTCAATGTTATTTAACTGTGAACTATAGGATCCGTATTTGTGCTACAAATGAAATAGAAGTTGTATTTGTTGTGTCAGATTATGCTGATTTAGAATTAGAATCCTGTAAATATCGAATTTCTTGGACTTGGTGGTCTAATAGATATATTTGGAGACAATGTAAAAATTCAAACGAAACGTTTTCAAACAAGTTGCTTTCTTATCCGTGGACGAAAAGATAAATTATGGTTTTAGTACTATATCATCTTTTTTGGGATCTATATAAAGGTATGTTCTGAATTATCTTTATTATTTTTATTTGTGTGGTTTAAATTGTTATAATAATATTCCAATATTGTCGGTAACTTGGTATATAGTAGGCAAACAGATCATAACCATATAAGATCTCCAAAGATCACCGAAGGGTAGACCTCATGTACTGGGCTCGGGTGCAAATCACAAGATCTTTATTAATTAAATGTGACGAGATAAATTTATATATATATACATACATATATATGTGTGTATATAAATTTGAAAGGATACAAATAGCGCTTCCTGAAATAAGATTAATGCCCTAGATATGTTAATCATGAATCATATAATCAAATAAATTGTGTTATACTTAATTTAGTTGATTTAACAATCAATTCTATGTAGAGATTGAAAATGTGAAAATTGGTTAAGAAAGCTAATATACAACATATGTGACGAAAATAAAGTTTATGTATGTTCTATCAGCATAGCGGGCTTTATTATGATTGGTTGATTTTGAAGATCATCTCATCATATTAAAGTCTTATTAAAGTAACGA